TCACTCCCCAGTTCGCACACTATGCTCTTCAGATACTGGTCTACTGTTAATTCCACGCTACAGGTTAGCATCGTTTGGTGGACGAGCGTTTTGTATCTCTGCCCCCACACTCTGGAATTCTATTCCCAAACACATTTGTGATCTTTTTTCATTACAGGATTTCAAAACCCACCTTAAAACATATATTTTCCTTTCTTGTTTCTCTGATCTCTGACTGCATGATCTGATTCATGCCATGGATTTCATGTTTATCTGTATTTTGTTTTGTTTTTTTGTCTGCTGTCATGTTAATCAGTTTTGATATTGTAAAGCGACCTTGCGTTTGCAGAAAGGCGCTATATAAAATAAACCTTATTATTATTATTAGTATTAGTATATTATTATTATTATTATTAACTTGAACACGCTAAACAAACTGGACACTTTGATCATGAGCCTCTTTAATATGTGCAAAAAGGATGAGATTATGATCGAGTGATGAGCAAAATGTATATCCCAATACAATAGTCTTACATTTTTTAGAATAGTAAAAAAAAAAACATTGAAAGGTCCTTTGTCCCAAATATATCACAAAGCATATATCAAAACATATCACAACTTATCTGACCATTCTTTTTTATTATTAGTCATGTAAAATGCATTAAAACAAATGTAGCAAAAATTTAAAAAATACAGATTTTTCTAAAATACTATTTTTGCCAAATATATAAATTAAATTAAAAAAAAAACAATAATAATAATAATTGTTGTTTAAACTGTAAAAGGTCTGTTAATTGAACTTGTTTTGTTTGGCGTTAATTCTGAAGCAAACTGCTCAGTTTCTCCACATACCTTTTATTGCTGAACAAGCATTATTTAGGAAAGTCAGCATTAGCAGCAGTCAATACGGGGAACAGGGCTTAGCATTGAGTCAGTTTCAAACCATCGATAACAGCTTTCACATTTTCTCTTCCATGGGGAATTGTGGGACAAATTCGTAAAATGTATACTGGTTGTCAAATTTTAAACCTTGAATTTTGTTTTCAACCGATATATTACCCACCCATAAATAAGTCATTTTTTGTGTTTTAATGTGTGCGTTAGACTTACCATCGCTGTAGCCATGGGCAAGCAGGCCATCAGGCGAGGGGGTTTGATGGGAACGCGAGCCGATGGAGTCCAGGCTGTCGAAAGAGTCGTCTCGCGCGTGCCTCGGCGGGGAGAGAGAGTCACTGCGCTCGGACTCCCAGCAGTCTATGTAACCACTGTCCCTGATGCTTCGCTTTGGGCTATCCCACTCCTCTGCTTCCTAAGAAACACATATAAACATTTAACAAGTTTGCAGCTTAAGATTCCTCCAAGTGGTGTTTCAATATTGAATAACATTAAATAAAGTGAATGATTCATTCTCATTTATTTTCACACAATGACTTTCACAGAAGTCTCTCTTGTGACTGCATTTGGCTTTTAGATTCAAACTTTTGACTTTTAGTTTCATCAACTGACAAAATGGAGTAAAAAATAATACATTAACAGATCTGCTTTTTTCAATTGTGGAGAAAAAAGCTTGTGGTGTTTAAATTATTTCTGGAGACAGAAGTACAGTTGAGTGCATCTCAACTTGTGGGTCGCAGGCCTGTTCTGATAAGCTTGAGGAAAAGCAAAACACACTGCGGTGCTAAATGAAAATAATTCTTTTTTTAAATGAAAGATTTTTTTAATTTATTTTATGTTAAAAGTACATAACTTGTATATATCAATTCTATTTAAAAAATGTATATTGCTGGATCTATGTAGTTCCCCCCCCAAAATTAAGCAGTCTTTATACACTTTTGTACAGTTAAACACTGTGTCCACAATGGACACAAGTGGCATAATGTGACAAAGAGACACCCTTGTAATCAGTGATACTGTCTACATGGAATGTGATGCAATGTGACACAGTCTGTAAATTGATGCTCCCAAACTTTTGCTTTTTTATGTGTTCAGTGTAGACCAGGGGTGCCCAATAGGTCGATCGAGATCCAGTCGATAGATTTACTGGTAGATTGCACATCATTTAAATATGCTTTAGGTAAATAGAGAGATTCAGTGATTATAATGGAACTCTGTGAGATCGTGGTGAACTGAAGTGAGTGACAGCTTTTTAGTGATTACAAAGGGAGTGCTCTTTGCACTTTCTAGGCTATATAAAATCCATATATAATCCATAATTTATACCTCATTGACAGCATTGTTTGGCTCAACTTATTTATGTGAATCAGCCTTTTCCCACATGAAGATTATTAAATCAAAACAATAATTGAGTTGGGCAGGCTTTTTCAGTCTGCCATTACTGATGACAATTTGGACAGCCCAGATTTTGCAAAACTGATTCAATTCACTACAAGTCATCAGAATAAGGCAAAGACCATGGTTAATCGCAATCTATTGTTCTGTGGGTGTTTTGAATGTAATGTTAAAAATAATAATATTGTATAGAGCCCTAGACTGAAACTAAGAGTTTATTATTAAAAAAATAAATTAAAAAAATTATATGTTGGATCGCCATTTGATGTCCGATATAAATTCTACGTTCGAAAGTAAAACCAGAATCAGGATAAATCCGTGTATCATTCGATCATTCGTTTTTTGATTTCATATTGAAAGTAGAAAAATGAGAAAACGGCTCCTTTTTAGTTTTTTTTGTTTTTTTCCAAAAGACGAAAAATGAGAATTCAGCTTAAATTTTCGTTTTTCGTTCATGGGTGGAAAAATGAATAAACAGCTTGAATATTTGATTTCTACACATGGGCGGGAATTAAACGCCCCTTTCTGCTGATTGGTCAGCCGAATATCAAACCGTGCCATCATCAGTTCTTCCGCAGTATCATGCAGCAGAATAATAGTCCTCCACTGCTGCAGTTGTAGGATTAATACCCATTTATCAATTTCATATTTTTCTCATCAAACAGACTAATGAATAGCTCGACACAACTCGTACCGGGGCAGAGTCTAGAC